TAGACATGCTTCTCAATTTACTCTGTAAAATGCTTCTGTTCTTAGGGCCTAAGTTATTAAAGTAGATAATGACAGTGACATGGAAACATCAGGCCCACATGGTGGAGACAACACATAGAAAGCAAATGATCTTTGTAAGCACTATCATTTTATGATTTCTTTGGCTCAGTATGAGGACAACAACAAACTTAGTATATACTCACTGGAGCTTATGCCCATGATACACAAGATTTTTATCGTTCCTCTTTCTCAACAGAGTTGTTATATAAAGAATACATGTGCCAATCTAACTTAATCTTTTCTATATGTATGACAAATTTATGCTGATACATATTTTAAAATCTGGTTTCTAATTAGTTTAAAATACAGAGATTTTGAATATGTGAATATTAGTATTACAGTATAACTCCTTTTTATTTGTTTGGTATTGTTAGTATGCTCGAATGACTAGTTGGAAAACAAATGTCAAGAATAGCCCTCCAAGTGAAAATAAGTATATTGGCCCAAATTAAGGGAAATTTTCAAATTTCTAGAACTATAAGATTCTTTGTATTAATTTTAATTCTATTTTCTCTCATTGACTACCCTTTGGTCATTTCACTTAAAGGAAATTGTTAACTGCCTGGTTGTAAACTGTTAAAATAATTTTATTTGTAGAACTAGTATCTGGAGCTATGGAGACCTTAAAATAAATTAAAACTTTCCCCCCTTATTACAAAAGTAATAAAGGTTCATTGTAACAAATTTGGAAAACAAACAAAATAAAACAAAAAACTCAGCTGGACGTGGTGGCTCAGGCCTGTAATCCCAGCACTTTGGGAGGCTGAGGTAGGTGGATCACGAGGTCAAGACATCGACATCCTCTTGGCCAACATGGTGAAACCCCATCTCTACTAAAAATGTAAAAATTAGCTGGGTGTGGTGGCATGGTTTTGCTATGTTGGCCAGGCTGGTCTTGAACTCCTGACCTCAGGTGATCCTACTACCTTGGCCTTCCAAAAAGTGCCAGCATTACAGGCATGAGCCACTGTGCCCAGATTGCTTTAGAATTGCATTTATACTGTGTATTTTTTTACCCTAATGACAGTGTGACTGTCTTAAATGAATATGACTGATTGTCACACAAAAAAGGCGTGTCCTAGTTCAACACTCAACTTTCAAGAAATACTATCAAAGACCTGCTATAAGCCAGGTAATGTACCATTTAGCTAGGTGGATCTTCAATTTGAACCTATGGTGGTTATTAGTAGAACAACTCAGGGATGTACTTCTTTAGTGCTGCTTATCAGCTTTACCAAGGGATAGTCACCTCTGTTCACAGAATTCATAGCAACTTTTTGCAAATTAATATTTTTACTGGACCTTTAGGATCCAGGCAGACAGCCAGATTAGAAAATACTTAGTGATGTGGTAAATTGTTTTTGATACTTTATTAAGATTGATTTAAGTGGCAATAAAATAAAAGTTGAATTCAGTTTATACCTAGACTGTGCTCCTTTAGTAGTTTTACAGCCTTCAAGGAGACACCTATTGTACTTTGACTGCCTTGAGAATAGTCCGTGCCAAATAGTATGTGTGATTTTTTTTCTCTCATCTGGTCACATTTGACTTCAGTGGGGAAGAAATGGAAGATGGCAACATCCTAACCCTCTGAATAAAACAACAAACAGGTCTTGAGTTGTATTTCATCAATTTGTTACTTTGGGTTCCTATGTCATGGGAAAGCCTAATAGAATTAAATAGTGGTTTTTTTTCCTTCTTTTTCATTTTATTCTGCTCTTTAGAATGGCACTGTCTGATAGAACTACTGAGATGATGGAAATCTGTGCTATTCAATATGGAAACCACTAGCCAGTGTGGCAGTTGAGCACTTGAAATGTGGCTAGTGTGACGGAACTGCATTTTAACTTTTAATTTTAATACGTTAAAATTTAAATAGACTCATGAAGCTTGTGGCTTCCACATTGGACAGCACAGCTTTAAAACATGGCGGGTGGCCTTTATTTTCATCGGAAGACAGCTAACCCACAGAAAAACCAAGTCAATCCTATAGAAGTAAACGACAATTCAAGTTAGTGTATTTTGAATAAGTCATATAAGATCTTAAGCTATAATATTATGTTAATCACACAAGGATAATACAGGCAGGTGCATTCAACTTGCATCTATTTTATGGTATGGATGAGAGAGCAGTGAAAGAGATACTGAGGAAGAAAGTTGATGTTAGGGCAAGGAAGGGATATCAGGCAAAAGAAAGCCATATTGAGATACAAGGGCCAGAGGTAAATAAGAGGGAAACGAAAGATTTAGAAAATTATTTGTATAATGGCAACTATGCCAAGAACATTGAATTGGGAAAGAGGTGCTTCTTACCCTCCTCTCAGTACCTTCTGACTGCAGAAGTTGTTTTGCATCTGCTTTGGTCAATCTCTTGCTCCTTTGCATGTTTGCTTCTCTCTTCTCTGTCTTTACTCTCTTCATGCTCTTTGCCTTAACACAACCCCAGCTTTGCCATGTGCAATGCCCTAGGTACTATATTTCTCTTACCTTTTTCCCAGGAATGTGTATAATGCAATTACAGAATTCCTCACTGTGTTGCAGAGGTGAACAATCATAGGAAATATGGGGGACATATTTTACTCAGGCTTTAATTATTTGTGGCAAGCCTGCTGTGTGTAGGACACTGCGCCTAGTGCTTTGCATTATTTTTTTATTGTGATAGAAGATAGAACAAAATTTATTATTTTAACCGTTTTTTAAATGTGTAATTCATTGACATTGTTTACATTCGTAATGTGTGTAACCATCACCACTGTTTATTTCCAGTACTTGGTCATCATCCCAAACAGAAATTGTACCCATTAAGAAATAACTCTCCATTCCCATCTATGCCTTGGTAACGTTTATTCTGCTTTCTATCTCTATGAATTTGCCTGTTTTGGGTACTTTCATGTGAGTGGTATCTTAGAATATTTATCCTTTTCTTATTGGCTTACTTCATTTAGCATACTGTCACAAAGGTTCAGCCATGTTGTAACGTGTCAGAATTCATGTCTCTTCTCTTCTTTCCTTTCATTTTCTTTTTTCTTTCCTTTCCTTTCCTTTTCCCTTTTTTTTTTCTTTTTCCTTTCCTTTCTCTTTTCCTTTTTTCTTTTCCATCCCATCATGTCCAGGCTGGAGTACAGTGGTGTGATCTTGGCTCACTGCAGCCTTGACTTGGCAGGCTCAGGTCATCCTCCCACCTTGGCCTCCCAAGCAGCTGAGACTACAGGGATGTGCCACCATCTTTGCTACTTTTTGTATTTTTTTTTTTGTAAAGACCATGTTTCACCATGTTGGCCAGGCGGGTCTCGAAGCGATCCACCTGCCTCAGCCTCTCAAGGTGCTGGGATTACAGATATCAGCCACTGTACCTGGCCTCATTGTTTCTTATTGCTGAATAATATTCAGTTGTATGTCTATACCATATTTATACAATTACCTGCTTATAGACAGTTGGGTTATGCATTATTTTTAATAATGTACTTGATTCCGCTTACATTTTTCTCGCCTTCAACACTTTCCAAAATGCCCCAGCACTCTTCTCTCTTTCATCCTTCTGATCCAAGAGAAAAAAGTTGGAATCTGAGTACTCTGCTTTTGAAAAACTGCACACTCTTTGTTATCAAGCAGATTTTTCTATGGCCTCCATTTACTTTATTTATTTAACTAGAAACTCTCCACTGTATTCCAGTCACTGGTGGACAGAGGACCAGCCTTAGTGCTCACTTCATATGGCATCTTGACATAATGATCTTGGGACATCCATGAGCTAGGTGATTGTGCTTCATGTTTAGCCCTTCAAGTACTTCTTTTTCTTTTTTTTGTGGGGGAGACAGAGGCTTGCTCGGTCACACAGGCTGGAGTGCAGTGGTGCAACCTTGGCTCACTGCAACCTCTGTCTCCCGGGTTCAAGCAATTCTCATGCCTCAGCCTCTGGAGTAGCTACAGGCATGTGCCACCGCACCTGACTGATTTTTGTATTTTAGTAAAGATAGGGTTTCTCCATTTTGGTCTGGCTGGTCAAACTCCAGTCCTTAAGTGCTCTGCCAGTCTCAGCCTTACAAAGTGCTGGGATTACAGGCTTGAACCACTGCGCCCGACCCTCTCCTACTTTTTATTCCTAACTTTCAGAGGTTATAACTGATAATGGTGCAACTGTACAACTCAGCCGCTGAGAACCCATAGTTACAGTTAGGACCAGGGCACAAAATTCACTTACATGTAGAGATTGTCAGCCCCCTTGCTTAAACAGTTACATGTATCTTACACATATATCAGAATGCTGGATTCACAGCAGGACAGATCAATTCCTTGTCACCCAGCTGTTTGCTGTATTCTTAATGTTAGATGCTAAAATCTGTCTTAGTTAATGAAGAATTAAATAAATGAGGTAGGAAGTTATATTTTCTATGGTAGTTTATGTAGATAATGATATAATAAACAGCACCAGTGGACTCCTATTCTAAGGGTGCACCATTCAGATAAATAAATAATAAAAGGACAACATAATAGGGACTTACTAGGTCTCAGTCTCTTCGCTAAGCTCTTATGCATGAATTCGTAATAACCTTCTGAAGTAGGTGCCACTATTTTCTTCATTTTTAGTTAAAGCAACAGAAGCATCAATAGGTTGACTCAAGTTGACAGCTAGAAAATGTCAGACTCTAGATTGAAGTGTAGGTCTATCTTACTTCACAACTGGAGTGCTATTTAACACACCTTAGGATTGTAGATTGTTTTGGTCAGAGATGATTTCTTATGTTCTAGTTTAGGATTCGACAATTTTAGGCACCAAGTGAATACATGAGTCATAGAAGAAAAGGGGGCACTGTCAAGAACCTCTTGAAGTCTCCTTTTATATGATACTCTTTTTAGCCCTGTTTTACTGTGATGGTTTGTAACTTGTTGGGATAACATTTATTAAATAAGTTGTTCATATTAATCTGGTGTATTTACAGGTGGTTGCTGTATATGGAACTTTATCTGATTTGCTTTCTGTGGCCAGCAGTAAACTCGGCATAAAAGCCACCAGTGTATATAATGGGAAAGGTGGACTGATTGATGATATTGCTTTGATCAGGTAACCTTCACCTTTTTATAAGCTGTCAACAGTGTGCCTCAACTTCTTGGTGCTATGCTGTTTCCCTTAAGCAGTAGTTTAATCACTGTTAAGAATACAGGATTTTGGCAAGTGATTACCTAGAATTTGCTCTTTGGAATTTAAATCATTTGGGCTTAAGCTGTATTGATCAGCCAGAAAACCCTTAGTATACATTTCAGTATACTGACAGTCTTTCTGCATAGTTCATATATGGCTATGAGGAATTTCTTCTTTGTGGTACTACAGAAGGATCTAATAAGACATGCAGTTTTTAACATTAGAAATCTAATTTATCTCTTCACTTTTATATGCACCTGCTTGTTAATCATTTCCTAAGAAATGCTTTGCATTTTATAAATATTACAAAGGCCAGATTTTGTGAAAACTTTATAAATATGATATAATTCTAATTAGAGGTATCACCAGTGATCCACCATAATTATAGACTTATTTGTTTGTTCTTTAAATATCCCAGGCAGATTCATCTCTTTAAAACAAGTGTGTAGTTCACCTTACTTCATCTTCACGAGGTCAGAGAATTTTGGAGCAGGAAGATGCTTAACAAAGAAGATGGTAAAGGGAACACAAATTAAGTGTTGACTATGCCAGTTATGTTATAATTGCTTTGCCTGAGTTATACCATTTGATTGGCAAAGCATGAGTTTTTTTATCAATGATGTGAAGATAATGATGCTTTAAGTTACAATAATACACAAAGTCTCTGTGTAAATCCAGATCAAAATGACCTTTCAATATAGTATACTGCTTTTGCAGTGAATCAGTTCTAGACCCTTCATTTTACAGACGAGGAAACAAATTACCTGTGAAGCTGAGGACTCACTCAGGTCATACAGCTAGTTGGGTTTTGTTAATGAAAAAAAAAACCAGATTTTTATACTAATCTGAAAACAGTAAATTGGCATGGCGAACAAGTAGGAAATACTATATACTACATTTTAAATCCAAATAAATTAGGATAATTTCGAGTTTTTCAATATGTGTCTCCCAGCTTCTTTCAGTTTCTAAGGAAAACTGAGTCACATTGTTGGATGATGGTCCTCATCAGCCTAACTTTCTCCTTAACAAGCACAAACTCTGCTTCTTAGAAAAATTTAATGTGTCCTGTGATGTCCTATAGGAAATAAAAACTTCTACAATGGAAGGTTATAACTGAAGCCTTCTGAGCTATAAAATATCTGCTTATTCGTTTTGGGTTCACAATACGGTATCTGGTGTAATGGGTTGAGGAAGAGGATGTACACTGATTGTCTAGAACTGTGGGTTATGTGCAACCATTTACATTTGGGTGTATGGTGGATCTGTAGTGGGTAAACACTGACGACAGAGTTACTTCCAGCTATATTTTTCCTAGATTTAATATGACAGTTTATTTCATCTCCAAAGCACACAACAGCTAATGATTTAGGGGTAAAAAAAATGTAAAGAAAAAAAGAGGAGTTAGCTGTGGCTTTAATCTATCCTTTGAGCATAATTATTCATTCTCAGTTGATAAGAAAGCTGAACTCACATAATTTGTGTAGTGGGATTTTCCCCCCCATTTCAAAAGTACTTTCATGTGCAAGATCTTATTTTTGAATTTAAATTCAAAGACAGTTAAGTTCAGGGAGCTAAACAAAGCATTGGAAACTTAGCTTCTTTGCAGTCTAGATTGATAGCAAAACCTATTGTCTATATAATTCTAAGGAATAATTCCTATAAGCAACAGATAATTAATGTGATTTTTAGATTTTGATGGTGGCTTTTTAAATTTTGATTTCCCCAGGGATGATGATGTTTTGTTTGTTTGTGAAGGAGAGCCATTTATTGGTAAGTGACTTTAAAAGCCAATTTTATCTGCCAAAAAAAAAAAAAAAAGATGGAATGGCAATTACTTTAAATGGGGCTATTAAGCTTAAACATCAAAAATGATCTTATGGCTGTATTCAGATCTTCACACTTTTTGATTCTACATTGGGTGTATGTGTTAAATTTTTTACTATATGATCGTAGTTTATTATGGATGCTTCATCTTTTACATGCCTTTAAAATGCTTTCGAGGTGTACATATTCATTAACTATAACATAGTAAGGTAGTTTTGATTTTAGAAACAATTGTTTCAAAATTTTTTCTTTGGTAGTAAATGTCAAAATTTTTCTACATGTTGTATTACATATTTGTGAGTAAATATTGCTTGCATAAGTAGTGTTTGACAGTATTTCACAGTGATCAGATCAGTCAAAAAATAACTTGGTATCAACCACAAACATGGGTGTGCACACACACTACCCTTTGATTTGGAAGAAAGCTTATAGTTGTATATCTCAAAAGAAAAGGCCAAAAGTAAGATAAAGTATTTGATTTATTTAGATCCATACAGTCAACACTCTGAATATTTAAGTATTTTTTAAAGCATCATACTAATTGTATTTGGTGAGTGGAAGTAGTTCTCAGGATTGATGCACAGGCAATTGTCAACTTGGAAGTAAGTGCATACTCTTGTCTGTCTGTCTCTACCTTAAAACTGTGAGTAAGAACTTTTCCTCATCTTCTTTTATCCATTGGCCTAACAGTGATTGGCAGGCAACGATCACTTAATTGGTCCACTGCATACAAACACAATAAAAAATGATAAATTAAGGGGTTTTTTTTATTGTTAACTGATGGATTTTAAAATATTTGGTATATTTTCATGCTCTGCATTTATTGGTGTTCAGATTGTCTTAATTTTTGGCCACTGGAAATCTCTTCAGGTCTTTTTAACAAGCCCTGTTGGATTTTATAGCTTTCTTATTATCTGGAATAACAGGTGTTCATCTTAAAGCCTTTTCCTGTCTCAGACCTGGATCAACATTTTTCCAACAAGCCTTGATTTTTTTTAGTGGGAAGTGTCTTTCCAAGACAAATCTGGGTGCTTGGGAGGCTCTTTGCTATTGGGTTTATCATTATTGCTATGCTTTTTGGTGGACAGAACTGAAAATATATAGGTAGAGATAAAATTTGTATATATGTTATAGGATAGAAAGTTTACATATCATATATAACACAATATGGATAGATGAAATAACTCATGGGTTCATACTAATACTTAAAGTTTATATTAAGGATTATAAGGTTTTTACTTTTCCTCTTCTGTTCTTACATCTGTGTCTCCTTTTTCTATATCAATAATACTGACTTTCAGGGACACAGGGACTAATAGAATTATAATGTCACATAATTACTCATTTACTATACCCCATACAGAACACATCTAAAAATGTCAGCATAACAAACCCAATACTTTCAGTACCAATATAATTACTAAAAACAGTTAAATGTTTTTCATATGCTAAATCCTTTCTCCCCTTACTTAAAAATAATTGTATTGTTTCTGCATTGTCAGAACATACAGCCATTGTATACCATACTGTCTCCCTTTATACTCTCATTTAGTTTTACTTCTTCAAGCGTACATTTACCTCCATCCTTTTGTTATGTTTCCAGTGGTTATCTGAAACTTGTTCTCTAGTAGATTTCTCTCCAAGAAACTATGAGAACAATAGTCTCTGACATCTTCCAGTGGCAAGATGTCATTGCCATCCGCCATCTTTATATGATTTTGGTATAAAATTATATGTCAACGCTTATTATAAACTTTAGTATGTGTAATTTGTTCTGTGTTAATTATACCTCAGTGAAGCTATTGAAAAATCCTTGGTTCACATCATTTTTCTTTGAATATCTTAAATACGTTACTGCATTTTATTCTGGCTTGAGGTGTTGGTCTCAAAAAATCTGATCTTTCTTATGTGATTATTTTTCATAGATCACCCAAAGGATATTTCTCTTTCTTTAAAGTACAGTAATTTTAGTAGAATATTTTTTGGTGTTCTGAGTTGTTCTGAATTGGTTTTCTCAGGATATGATGGATCGTTTCAATATATAGTTTCAAGTGTATGTATTTTAAAATTTCAGTACAGTTTTCTTGAAGTTTACATTTTTATTTTGTTCACTTTGATTTGATTTCCTTCTTTCAGGACTCTATTGTATGTATGGTGGATCTTTTACACTTGTCTTTTACATTTGAAACTTTCTTTTCTTTTCTTTGTATTTTATTTATTTATTTTTTTTGAGACAGGGCCTCACTTCATCACTCAGGCTGTAATGCAGTGGTGTGATCTTGGCTCACTGCAGCTTCAACCTCCTGGGTTCAAGTGATTCTCCTGCCTCAGCCCCCAACCAGTAGCTGGGACTGCAGATGTGTGCCACCATGCTCGGATAATTTTTTTGTATTTTTTGTAGAGATGGGATTTTGGGGTTTTGCCCTGTTGCCCAGGCTGGTCTCGAACTCCTGAGCTCAAGCAATCCACCTGCCTCGGCCTCCCAAAGGATTACAGTTATGAGCCACCATGTGTGGCCGTTTCTTTTTAATTTTTCAAGCTATTCTCTTTTTCACCTTTTCTTTCCCTTAAGTCACTGTCATTGTGTTTAATCACTCTTGTATTTCTTTTGCTTTAGTCTTTATTTTAAAAATCGTTTTTCTTTTATTTCTAATTCTCTTGGGAGTTCTTGCTACACGTTTCTGAATTTGTAAATCCTGGTTTATATTGTTATTTTATACCTTGTATAAACTTATTTTAGCATGTTTTGGAATATTAGATTATAATTTTGATCTATTTTGTGGGTATTTCTGGCATGTTTTCATTATAAGGACATTATTATTATTATTTTAACACTTTTGTATTACATTTGATCAATCCTTTTGTATTGCTTATTTTTATGTGAGTTTAGTTTTTCTTAACTTGAAAAGAGGGCTGACAGGACAGTTTTTCTAATTTCATGGCTCTAGAGTTCCCTTTTCTGTTGTTTTTGTGAAGTGTTAAAAACATACAGAACTCATTTTCTGATATATTCTGGTCTATTAGACCTCTTAACTTTTGTTTGGAGTCCTTTTTTTTTTAGTCTCTGTTGTCTTTGTTGCATTCAGCTTGGATTATTTTCCCAGCATGTTATCAGTGTGGGGCTTTGTCCATAGAAGAGAGTTTTGACCATTTGGTTTTGAGAGTTTATTTTCAGCCCTATCAGATCTTACTCCAAAGTACTTGCATCACTCACTTTTGGGGTCATCTCAATCTGTTGTTCTCAGCTGAACTTATTAAGCAATGAAGTCAGTATCTATGGATGGCTTTCACATTCATGGGTTCATCATATACCCTGTTGCATCTCTCTGCTTTTTCTTTCACAGGCGCTGAAAGCATGCTGCTCTTATAGCTGTTGGTATTGGTGGGACTACCTTATCACCTAGTGTTGTTTTAGATGCAGTCTGTGGGTTTGGGTATTGCTGTCCTAGTAGCTCTGGTATGCTTTTATTATGTGTGTATTCAGTTTTAAAAATTATGCCATTACCGTCTTCCCAGAATCCCCAATCTTAATATTTGTATTATTTTCTACATGTCATCTCTAGATCCTCAGACAGATTCTAAGCCTCCTGAGGGATTGTTAGGATTCCACACAGACTGGCTGACATTAAATGTTGGAGGGCGGTACTTTACAACTACACGGTAGGTGTATGTGTATGTGCGTTAGAGAGAAAGAGAATGCAAAAGGAGCACTGTGTACCGTTTGTTCTTCAATTTGCTGATTCCCTAAAAAGATACTCAAATGCTGCTTAAATATACTGTGTGATCTGAAACCATTTTTTATAAGTTTTTTTGAAGAACAAAGTAAAAACATGGTTCATTCCTGAGAAAGCATAAAAGGCATCACTTCAGTGTTTTAGAACATGCTTTTTAGATATTGAGTAATAGACACACAATATAAGTAAAAATTAACAGTACTGAAATTTGTAGAGGCTACAACTGCTTTTATTAAAGGGCAGAAAAATGTAAGTTTGGAAGATCAAGAATATTATTATGTAATAGTTTGCTAACAGGATAGACAGAGAAGTATTTAAAGCAAAGGAAACTAAAAAATGTTTAAATCAAAGGAAGTACCCGATTAGAAGGGATCTGATAAATGGCAACTTACTGCACGTTTTTGTTTCCCAGCGTTACTCCTACCAGGTTGTAGCATGCATCTTTTTGAGAGAGCAGCTGGGATCGAGTATACTCTTGACTTAAATATGTTTGTTTATAAAGACAAATGGAGAAATCAATTTTTTTCCCTGAATTCTTAGGAGCACTTTAGTGAATAAAGAACCTGACAGTATGCTGGCCCACATGTTTAAGGACAAAGGTGAGTGTAATACGTTGGTTTCGCATTTCGTCTTACCTGTTTTGTATCTGTGCTGCCTTTATAACTCCCGACTTTCTGTACTTACTAATTATGTCAGTTTTTAAGAGTAAAAACTTACTGATATATTAAGCAATTTTTTCCTCATACATTTCTGACTTTATTTTTTGTTTATGGGGTACTTTCTTTATTATAATGGTAACACAGGTGTCTGGGGAAATAAGCAAGATCATAGAGGAGCTTTCTTAATTGACCGAAGTCCTGAGTACTTTGAACCCATTTTGAACTACTTGCGTCATGGACAGCTCATTGTAAATGATGGCATTAATTTATTGGGTGAGTTTATGTAGACTTTCAATATAATTATGTAACTACTCACATTTTTGTAAGTTTAAGATTTTAACTTTGTTTCACTCAGTGACAGTATATTTCCATAAAGTAAAAGTATTTTTTTTTCTATTTTTTAAACTAGATGTTTTCTCATGTATATGAGTGTATATAGGTGTAGAAATAGATTTAGGCACGGACAGGTGGTCCTTCAGGTAGGTAGTCTTTGTACATATAGGTAAATATCTAAGCCATACACATCAACTTTATATTCTAAACTGATATAGATTCTATATGACAAGTGACTTTAAACGATTTTGTTGTTTCCTTTTTTAAAAATTGAATTATGAATGTAACTTGGCTCCAAGTTCTGGATATTCTCCACATTATGTGAGAACTAGAGTAGTCAAGAGGGCAAATCATGACTTGCAATCATAATTCTCAATTAGAGATTTGATTCTACAATTTGCTAACTTAGGGAGACTAACTTGGGGAGAATTTCTCTGAGTCATATTGGAAAAATGAGTGTTGAAAGCACCCTCAACCCTATCTACATCACAAGATTTTTGTGAAGGTTAATGGAGGTGATGTAGACAAAAGCCCTTGTAAAACACTGGTTGCGCATTTGGATGCTAATAGGCCTCTAAGTGACTGAAGTTGGTGTGGTGTCAGTACTTGAGGAGTGGTAGGCAGTTGGTGATCTTGAGGTCACATGCCTGCCAGCTTCAGCAGATCGTTGCCATGTGCAATGTGGACAGATGTAGAGTGCCAGAACCTTGGTTTTTGAAGAAACCTGGGTATCTAAAATTTTATGTGACGTGTTTTTATTTTGAAAACATTACATGCTGAATACATCAGAATCAGCCTGAGGACTGCTAGCTTACAGTTTCTGTAGTGAAATACAAAACACCCACTAACTTCTAGTGTTGCCATAACAAACTTTATATTCCCTTTAACATGTACCTATTGCAAAAAAAAAAAAAAAAGACATTATTTGACTCTTTTAGCTAGTTCTATAACTTTGTAACTAAATTCTTGTTGCTTTCTATTTCTCCCATTGTAATTTTTCTTCAGATTATTGATAGCATTTTGTATCCTACTTGCCTAGAAAATAACATCAGAAATATATTTATCCATGCTCTGTCACATATCTGCAAACCAAGCTATTACCAAGATTTGCTAGTTTTTTCTTTTTCATGTTTCTCAACTATTTCTTTTATTTGTGCAAGTGTTCAAAAAGCTGAGCTCTCTGCTGGATTCATTTTATAAAGCATTGTTTTTAATTAGTACAGTTTCCATCCAAACTCTTTATATTGCCTACAGATTGCCCAAGTAATTATATGCTTTAAAACAATCTACAGTAATTTTACTAACACCAAAAAGTAGTGAGTGGCAGAGCTGGGATTCAAATCCAGATTTTGATTTTTTTTTTTTTTTTGAGAGAGTCTCACTCTGTTACCCAAGCTGGAGTGCAATGACGTGATCTCCGCTCACTGCAAACTGTGCCTTCTGGGTTCAAGTGATTCTCCTGCCTCAGCTTCCCGAGTAGCTGGGATTATAGGCACACACCACAATGCCCAGCTAATATTTGTTTTTGTTTTTGTTTTTGTTTTTTTTCTTAGTAGAGACAGGGTTTCACCATGTGTTGGCCAGGCTGGTCTCGAACTCCTGACCTCAAGTGATCCCCCCGCCTCAGCCTCCGAAAGTGCTGGGATTACAGGTGTTGAGCCACCGTGCCCGGCCTGTCTTTTGTATTTCTGAGGCTTCTCTGGATGTTTTAAAGATTTATTTCTAAACCTAGAATTAGAAACGTATCCTGGCTGCATTCCCTAAGAGTTCTGCTTTACTCAGATCTTGGCAAATTGAGAGCGTGGCCCACAAGAACCTCTTTTGTAATATGTTGGGTTTCCACCGGGGATATATATCCGACCAGAATGGCATAATCTTTGGATGCCTCTTGAAGGGGAAATGTGGACCCTGTATGCCAGAGTGGTAGCCGGATGCTGTACCTTGGATGACCTTTGTTTTACAATTGTATTATCGTCCATAGAGTTTGGTTTTCACAGAAAAGATTGTATTATTCTTCCCAAATAACGGCTTGTGGTTTTCTGTATCTACTTACCTTATTAGCTTGTGTTTGAAGGGAGGGATTATGTCTGATACTTTCTTTGTAATTCCAGAGTTCTAAGTAGTTTTTTACCAAGTCAACAGCCAACTGATTGAGGTCTTCTCATTTGAAAGATAATGGAACCCAAATGTATTCCCACACATTCTGATGATGTTTATTAACAGATTAGAATAAGTAAACATACCAAGTCATGTAAAGGATGTACATTGTTTTTTACCAAGTTAAAGTAAATGATAAATGAAACCTCTTTTAGTATTTACCAATATTTTTAAAATTTATTCTCCTATAAGATTTCTGAATTATACTTTTTTGTACTTTTTAAACTTTTATTCATTTCCATCATTTTCTGATTCATTATGTCAAAGATACTTGTGGCAAACATGTTCAGATCTGCTCCATTTAAAAAGTCAATTAAATGTTAAAATTATGTTAACTAATCGTATTTTACTAAATTTAAAATGACTGTAATACATTCACTAAATTAGTTGTTTCAGAATCATTTTTGTTCTGATAGGTGTGTTAGAAGAAGCAAGGTTTTTTGGTATTGACTCATTGATTGAACACCTGGAAGTGGCAATAAAGGTAAGCCTGTTTTTACATTAGCCACTGTTATATATATTGTAGCTATCTCCCAAAAGACTCCACTAATTTCTTAATATCTTTTTCAAGAATTCTCAGCCACCGGAGGATCATTCACCAATATCCCGAAAGGAATTTGTCCGATTTTTGCTAGCAACTCCAACCAAGTCAGAACTGCGATGCCAGGTAATTAACATGAATTTTACATGAATTACATGAATTATTTCTATCAGCAAAATAAAATTTTACATTCTTCTAGTGTTTTGGGGTTATTTTGCTTTATTTTTCTTTTATGTGCAAGATCTAATTTAATTATGGGTCATAGCATTGATTTAGTTCTGAAATGGTTAACCAAAAAGAGATGCAATAATAGCCTTTTTAAATTGCCTAATTATACCTCATGCAGCAGTTTATGAATAATGCATGGAAATTGCAGCAGTTTTTTAAAAGTAATTATTTGTACATTTGCAATATATGGTCCGATCAGTGGCAGGTACTTTACTTATGTGTACTGTAGCATTTCAGATTTTAAAGACCACAGTATTCATTTTTGCCTGATAAACTGTTTTGAATTATTGAATTAATAAAATAATTTAAATATAATTAGGTTTAAATACTTATTAGCAGGTATAGGACTAACAGGGATACCTCTTTAGAAACTTCTACACATAAATGAATTATAGCCAGGCTATATTCTAATGTATATGTTGATAGAGTTTCTTTTATGAGGAACCTATTTAAGGACACTTCTTTCATGTATCTAAGTCCATTTTGATCATGTTTTGTAATAAACTCCAAGTAACTGAACTGCCAATTGCTTCTAAAAAATACTTGGTGGTTAGCTATAGTAAGTAAATTTAATACAAACAGACGATTTAATTATGGTGACAATTTGTGCTTTTTTATTTCAGGGTTTGAACTTCAGTGGTGCTGATCTTTCTCGTTTGGACCTTCGATACATTAACTTCAAAATGGCCAATTTAAGCCGCTGCAATCTTGCACATGCAAATCTTTGCTGTGCAAATCTTGAACGAGCTGATCTTTCTGGATCAGTGCTTGACGTAAGTATCATTTTAGGCTACAAGAGAAAAGTAAATGTTTAGTCTATTGAACAGTCTCAAAGAGCCTTTGAGACAGGAATTAAAACTGTCTTTTATGGGAGCTTTTACTTGAAAACAGATAATTTATTATGTTGATATAAGACTAAAGGGTCTGAAAGTGAAATGAATTTGGTTTTACAGGTTTGATATCCTTTATTAAACATAGACCTGTAAGGTTTAGCAACTAAAAAGAAATTAAATCTTGGAATTAGTTCCTGATCTCCTCAATATTCTGTACTTTGTCAGGACTCGTATTTTCAGCAAATTATAAAGGTAAAACTGAAAGGAACCTTGAAATCTATTCAACCTCATTTCTGGAATGGGAAAATGTTACTGCTCAAGAATTATTTGATAGATATTTTGAAATAAATATGGTATGCATCAGTTTGTGGAAGTTAACATCTCAGTGGCTTTTTCCCTCTCTCTCTGTATATGTGTATATTTATATGTATGTATATGTATGTATTCATGACAGTTACCTGTGTTTATTTGAAGTTAGAGGGTAGATGCAGACCAACAATGAAATCTATTAATTTTTAACAACTTTTAAGTTCCTTACCTCCAAGGCCCATGTCTGTATGTCTTTTGAATTAATACCATCTTGCTTTTGGTAGTCATTTATTGAATTATTGTAATTTGGGTTTTACTCATTAGCTGCAGCTTATTTCTCCATGAAGCCGTGTATCTGAGCTAGTAACAAAATCTACCAAATATGCATTTTAGTTACTTTCACTGTTCTTATTCTGTCTTATCATGAAGGGTCAGGTTAGTAACAAAACAGGAAAAAGACTAGCATCAAAAAAAAGTTTGAAGGACCTAGTCTTTAAATAGTGGAATGTCGAGAGGCATCTTTGTGTGTGTTAAGCCCTAAAAAAAAGTTTGTCAAAAACTCTTTGAGATAAATGAACATAATTGAAAACTCTTGGCTGGATGAGGTGGGTCAAGCCTGTAAACCGAGCACTTTGGGAGGCAGAGGAAGGTAGATCACTTGAGGTCAAGACCAGCCTAGCCAACATGGTGAAAACCCGTCTCTACTAAAAATGCAAAAATTAGCCAGGCGTGGTGGTGCATGCCTGTAATCCAAGCTACTCAGGAGGCTGAGGCACGAGAATCACCTGAACTTGGGAGGCAGAGGTTGCAGTGAGCTGAGATAGCACCACCGCACTCCATCCTGGGTGACGGAGTGAGGCTTTGTCTCAAACAAAACAAAACAAAACAAAACAGCCTTAAAACATATCTTTTTTACCATTTTACTCTCTGCCTTGCATTATGCATTGTGATGTGCCTGCTCAGGGTTGCTAATGTTTAGCCATGGTTGGTGCAGAAAGACCCAAAAAGCATCTTGTTAGTGTTTTGTAGCTAAATAATGCCTTTAAATGTTGGCATTCGTATTCTGACCTCTGACTTGAAGGCAGTAGTAGCATCTTAGAATATCAGTAATTTCACTTAGAACATTAAGATTCCCATAGTAATAAGAAAATCCATACCCCTAACAAGTGTATGCCTTCCTTACCCATACATTTTGACTATTTCATTGTCATGCATAGGTGTGTTTATAAAAATAGAGATAGAGACGTCATAGTTCTGACTCTCCCAACTTCTTTATCTACACCATTATGTTTCATGTAAAATGAGCATGCTATTGTTAATTTGCATTTATTTTTTTAAAAACAGTTCTTTAAAAAAAAATTTCTTTCAAATGTTCCCATTTCTTACTGCGTTTAATTAGAAAAGCCTTTATTGTAAACAGAAAATAATTGATTATGAGTGTGTTGAGTTGAGCCTTTTCCCCTTTTCTATTTTTTCTTTTACTGTTTGAGCTAATTTGAACAAAATTATGAACCTTACCACCAGGAATTTTCTCTTTTCTTTGCAGTGTGCAAATCTCCAGGGAGTCAAGATGCTCTGTTCTAATGCAGAAGGAGCATCCCTGAAACTGTGTAATTTTGAGGATCCTTCTGGTCTTAAAGCCAATTTAGAAGGTGAGATCCTTTCTGTAAATACCTATTCTATGGAGGAAGCAGACTGTAAAGGAAAAAGCCCTGGAAAATAATTGTTAAGGGTGAAACAGGATAGCTGTAGGGAATAGGTTTCTTCTGTCATCATATTTGGAGAACTTCCAAAGCGGTAAGATACCTCCATTTGGTTTCAGTCAAATGCTAATCAAAACAGAGGACTCAGAAAAAATAAAGCCTCAAATATTTAATAAAGTTTTAATTGGAAAATTAAATATCAACATCTTAAACTTTCAAATGGAATAAAATATTCTTACACTGACCAAAAGGAAAAATTTCTTTTGCATAAAGCCAGGGAGTTTATAAAAATCATTTTAAGATTTAATTTATTGTTTCTTAATTTGTTACTGTTTTATCTGTGACTGATCACTTTGTTTACTTGTATATTTAGGAGACTACTTAACCTTCATTATCATAAACCTGTAGAGGCATATTATGAAAGTGCTAACCATCATAAGACAGAACTAAATTTCTTCCCTCAAAAGTATCAATGAAAGCATTCTTTCATCAGTGAACTGTTTATATATGTAAGTTCGTTGAGAGACAAGATTTTAGATTCATTCCCCAAAGTCAAAAGAGACTGTCATTATTGACCTCCATTAAGTCATCTTGCAGTTTTGTTGAAGATAGATAACTATATTTTTAAGTTAAACTACTCCCAGAATGTGTTCACTGTAGGTGCTAATCTGAAAGGTGTGGATATGGAAGGAAGTCAGATGACAGGAATTAACCTGAGAGTGGCTACCTTAAAAAATGCAAAGTTGAAGAACTGTAACCTCAGAGGAGCAACTCTGGCAGGAACTGATTTAGAGGTGAGTTCACCAACATTTTAAGAGTTTTTATTACGCTAGACTTACTAAGCATCTCATGCAAAATGTATTGAAATCAAAACAAAGTAGTTGGTTGGTAAAACTGGATTGGAAGACTCATCTGGCATTCAGACTAAGTTGATTTCATTTCTCTCCTTTTCCTTAAGTTTTTCTCAAGTAAATAAGTTTGATAGATGCATTATCTAATGTTTGTATTTTCCATAAAATTTAATTCCGAACAGAACTAAATGGGCTAGATTACTTCTTAAACTACTTGAGAAATTTAAATGATATCCAGGTTTGAAATCAGGTTCAGGAAGTCTATTTAAAATTGGAACCATATGTTTTTTGGTTTATCAGCCTGAGATTATAATTTTGCCTAGTCATCTTTTTCAAAGAATTGTATTTGTATGTCTTCTTAATTTGCCAGTTTAGCTAGCAGACTCGATAGCTGTTGATAGGTCTACATCAGCACCATCCAATAGCACTTTGTGCAGGAGGGACATGTTCTATGTCGGTGCTCTTCAGTATAGTAGCTACTAGCCATATATAGCTGTTGAGCACTTGAGATGTGGCTAGTGCAGATGAGAAATTGATTTTTAAATTTTATTTAATTTTAATTCATTTAAATTTAAGTAGCCACATGTGGCTGGTAGCTATGAAATCTGGTATAAATTGGATAGCAGAGAACAGTATGTCAAAATTTAGCTTGCTGTTTTTTTTCTTAATATTTTTGCCTAGATCTCTTGATAGCTCTCAGTAGCAGAGTAGCAGACCCCTTTCAACTTCAAGGCAAAAAGAATTGGCCTAAGATTATAATCCTATCACAAACACAATTATTTATTATTTATTACATCACTTTCACCGAAGATTATATTATTTTCCTTGGTTTTATGTACTCGGAGTGGCTTAGCAGCAAAAGCCTCCCTCTGTCTAACTGATTGCAAAGACTGATCAGGTTGACTATTGAGGGGTGAGCTGCTGACATTTGTTCTCCTAAGAGGTTACATTTAGTCACCCTTCTCTCTAACCATTGTCCCGTATCATATCCAGGGACTTAACTGGAATCTCTATCTTACCGCTCCGTGATCTCAAGAGAAATTAAGAAACAGCTTCAAATTGCAGTGGTTACACTATTTTGTACATCTGTCAAAACTCATTGTATTACATACATACCTTTGGGGGCTTTAAAAAGAAAGGCAGTTCCTTGGTATAAAAATACTAGGGCTAGGGAATGGAAAAATGTATTACACAATTTGATTAAGTAAAATCTTTTCAGATTAAAAGAAAAATAGTCTTCCCCCCATCTCATTCCTTTTGTTGTTACTGTTCTTAGATCATAGTAAAGTTGGTTTGATAATATTTATTACCTTGGGGCCAGGCGCAGTAGCTCATGCCTGTAATCCCAGCACTTTGGGAGGCCAAGGTGGGTGAATCACTTGAGGTCAGGAGTTTGAGACCAGCCTGGCCAACATGGTGAAACCCCGTCTCTAGTAAAAATACAAAAAATTAGCTGAGTGTGGTGGTGAGTGCCTGTAATCCCAGCTAGTCGGGAGGCTGAGGCAGGAGACTCACTTGAATCCTGGAGTTGGAGGTTGCCCTGAGCCGAGATTGCACTCTGGCCTGGGCAACAAGAGCAAAACTCCGTTTTTTTTGTTTGTTTGTTTGTTTGTTTGTGTGTATATATATTTATTTATTTATTATGTTGCAATCCATTTTGTATTTTAAATCAATGGTCCCCAACCTTTTTGGCACCAGGGACTGGTTTTGTGGAAGACAATATTTTCACAGACCAGGGTCAGGGGTGGTTTTGGGATGATTCAAGTGCGTTACATTTATTGTGTACTTTATTTCTACTAGTATTACATTGTAATATATAATGAAATAATTATATAACTCACCATAATGTAGAATCAGTGGGGTCCCTGAGTTTGTTTCCTTGCAAGTAGACATTCGCATCTGGGGATGTTGGAGACAGTGAGAGATCATCAGGCATTAGATTCTCATAAGGAGTACACAACCTGGATTCCTCACATGTGCAGTTCACAATAGGTTTCACTCTCCTATGCGAATCTAATGCCCTTGCTGATCTGACAGAGATGGAGCTCAGGCTGTAACTTGAGCCATACAGGGAGTGGCTGTAAATACAGATGAAGCTTCATCTACTGGTGACCTCCTGCTGTGTGGCCTGATTCTTAACAGGCCATGGACCAGTATCAGTCTGTGGCCCAGGAGTTGGGGACCCCTGTTTTCAATGTCTCATTTTAAAATATGCAAGAAAAAGGGACATGCTTCCTCTTTAACCTTTGTTTATACATATACAGCCTGAACATTAACTAGAGGTAACAAATACAGATAGAATATCATCTTAATTTAGGGTGGTGTATCATCGGTTTTCCGGAAATTAAATGAGTTTTATTGTATAGGAACATTTTCCTAATCTGCCCCAGAAATCATTTTGAGCAGAAACAGATAAGGCCTGAAATCTCCACATGAATTATGTGAATATTGTTTTCATCTTGCAGAATTGTGATCTGTCTGGGTGTGATCTTCAAGAAGCCAACCTGAGAGGGTCCAACGTGAAGGGAGCTATATTTGAAGAGATGCTGACACCACTACACATGTCACAAAGTGTCAGATGAGAATTTTAGGGGCTGGAGGAAGATATACAAGATGAAAATGTTTTCCTTATCACTTTTCTTTCTCCACCCACTCAGTTGTCTAGAAGAAATAACACTGTAAGGAAATTTTAAAAAAAACATTTAGAGGATTATGCTTGTTCTGAGCGGTGCATAAGGGAAAAAACTGACTTTTTTTCCATTTTCTGATTTTTAACAGAAAAGCACTCATTTAATAGATGTAGGGAAACTAGATATTGCTGCCTTTTGAACGGGGTAGGGGGTTTACCTGGTTTTATGACCAGGAATAGTATCTATTATATTTGCTTTTAAATAGGCATGATGTGGAAATACCATCTTGGTTTGAGATGTATTTGAGGATTTTAATTTATGGAAAGCACAACATATGCAATTATATTTATTGAATACCTAGATGCAGTATAGATATTTAAATTGTTAAAACTTTATGAAAACTTGGAAAAGGTTGTTCAGGTTTATAAATAGCTTTAGTGATCCCTCCCCTCTTTAAATACCTGTCACACCACATGAATATGGTGAGATCAGATTCCCTAAGACTCTTTTCAGGTTCATTTTTAAAATGTTTACTTTTTAGGACAAAACAGTAGCTAAATTAAAGTAATATCCAGTTCTTACTGATTGAGACAGAGTGGAAAGAAAGACATCATTGTACATCACTGTCATTCCAAAGGTACAGTGGGACTCTGGATGGAGGAAGCACTTACCTATCACTACAACACTTATAAGTGAGAATTTCTCAGAATTTCATTCTAGGCAAGTTCCACTCAACACCAGACCAAGCAATTCTATTTACACTGTTAGCCTAGTTTTCTCATACAATCATCACAAGGATAGGAAGACACTTCAAAACCAAAAAACCAAGGTGCATCATTAATATTCATTTAATTCAAATACCGAATAGTTGACATAGGGCCAGCTTAGAAATAGATACTAAATCCAGAGCTACTGCAATCAAAGCATATATGAATGAAGATGGTAGAGTTGCCTGCTAAAAGGCAATGTAATATAATTGCAGCTAGAACCCTACAGTGGGGAATGAGGAATTTTAAACACACATTTGATTACAGCCACCAAAAAATATATGTAAAGTAAAAATAAAGGCATTTGGCTGGTCCAAGGTGTAATACCAATCAGTCAGCACCTGTGATTCTTCTACATATATA